AGTTTTGCTGCACTCCTCACTCTGCTTGCAGAGCACTGGGGGCAGACAAACCTGGACCTGCCCCAGCCAGGGGGCATGTACCCCTCCCCCCTAGCTGTGCCCCCTGGAGCTGCAGTAGTAGTGGAGAGGTGCTTCTCACCTAGCCCCACACTGCTGTGGTAAGAGAGGGCTGAGGTAGAACTCTCTCCCGAGGCAGCCTGCATACTGAATCCCTATCCCCACTCCCACCCCTGAGGAATGACTTAAATGAAGAAAAACTAATACTGAGTTAAGGACCCTCGCAATAACAGGAAAATCTTCTAGTTAGAAATAATCCAATAAGCAATGACTGAACAAAGGCTGGGGAAAAGATGGCAATGTGAGGATGTAAGTCATTAAAAATATAAAAGCTCGTTATTGCTATGTAAGTGTCTTAGTTGCTTTTATTTAATATATTAGAGTATGAACAGATTGTATTAAAAAATGTTAGGCAAAGCTTCATTAGGCATACATTTCTCTTTTATTTGTGGCCTGTAAGGCCATAGGATTTAAATTCAGGGGGTTTCTAAAAGATAAGTATAAGAATTTCAGATAAAAATTATTTCTGCTTTCTTGTTTCATTTGATTTGATCCATTCTCCTATACAGAATCTATTTTTGGTTGGTAAAATTTAAGTTCAACCTACAGCTTTGAAAAACATGTGAGATGTGGAGACATATGTTTAGCCCTAAAGGACACAGCTCCATTCCTGTGAAATTTTAAGTCAAAACCTGTCGCACACTATAAGCCTAGATGGAACTTAGCTACAAAACAAACAGATTCTCAATTCTGTTCCATTTAAACAGGATATCTGATATGCTTTTTGGATCCTGATTCTGCAATTAAGCAAGATGTCCTCAAAAGTCAATTACATTTTTGACAATGAAGTGGGATCTGTCCATTTGCCAGTAAGTGACATTTAGTACAGAATATCATCTTTCTGCAAACTGTAATTTAAATGTTGATAGAAGATGATCTTTATCATGAATTTTGTAAATTTAAAAATGATTTTATATTTTTACTTTATGTCATACAGCATACAGGATTTATATTAGCTATTTTAATCTTTTTCTGAATGATGATACTTATTGCATGTTGGAAAACATAAATTGTTGTATATGTAAGTGAGTACTTGAACATTTTGTTGCTATTTATGCATACTTAAAGCTATTCTTGTAAACACTTAACATCAGCAATTATATATAAAAATAAAATACAAAATGTATACATTAATTTTGAAAACAGCAGCTTGTATACCAAAGTAAATAAAATTAGTTTTAGTTAAATGCAGTAAGTTGAAAAAAAAGACTGATGTTAAAAGGTAATTCTAATGAAAAGTAAGACAAGCACAGGGATTTCTAAAAAATTTTTGTACTAGCTATTATGCAGAAATTGTTTATAGATTAAAGTATGAACTCTCCTATATTTACAAATGAATTCAATAGTTCAATATTCTCAAACTACATCACAGCTTTACAGAACACCACTAACTGTATTTGCCATTGGATAATCCATCCCTATGTTATAAAACTAAAATAATATTTAAAGTTAAAAACCATGGCATATTAAATTAGCCCTATGCTTATCATCTGCAAGATACACAATTTATAAAAAGTCCCATGTCATAATTTCATCAAATATAGGATTCTTTCAAAATAAGCCTTACATTAACACAGAAGAACAACACCCTAAATTTCTGGAATGAAATGGAACCATCATAATTCTTGAACTAGGCACACAGTCTTCCCAATAACCCCGCAGAACCATAACACTTGTATGTGCTGTAATAGCAAGATGTTAAAATAATGAATGCATAATATTCCAAAATTATGTGGGTGGAATTAATAATATATTAATGTTATTTAATTTTTTAAATTAAAATATTTCTATTTTACAATAAAATGAAAAGATTTTATTCAGTTTCTTAGATATTGTCAAGAATGGCAGAATAGGTTCTAAATGAAGGAAACTGCCAAGCCAGGGGAGGTCAATGCCAGCCCCTCTGGTGCTGCCAGCTGAGGGCTCCACTCCAGCAGCAGCAGAGTGGTTGGCATTGCCCAAGTGGGAACTGCGGGGAGGGGGATATTTGGTGGAAGAGGCTTCAGGCTCCTTCCTCCAACAATTCAGTTGTGCTCCTGGCCCCCATCTGCAGGGCTCCGCAGCCACCATGCCTCCTCCCCCCAAGCTTCTCCCCCTTCCTTCCTGGCTTTGAGCACCTCAAATAGGATATCTATTGTGCTCCACAAGCTCTGGGAAGGCAGGGGAGTAGTTGCTGAGTGCTGGGGAGTACAGCTTTTCCCCATGAGTGCTCCTACTCAGGAGCACCCATGGGGATGCCAGACTACAGATGCTGCTGGACTATGAAAGCTCAGACTACAGAAACCCAACCCTGTATGTCACCAATGCTTTATTTTAATGCAGGAAAATTTCATCCCTTCTTTTCCTTTTCTTCATTTTTTGCTGATCCTTACCAATAATTTCAGCAGTTTAGTTTGGAAGTGCTATTTCTTCATGAATTCATGATATAATTACTGGCCTTTTTTGAGAAGACAAAACTTAAGACAGTCCGCATCACAATTACTATGCAAGTAATTCAACAAATGTATCACTCAAACAGAGCATAATGAAAAAAACACCACAAGTAAGGTTGTTTTTTGGAACATAATGTTGAATAGGAGGTGCTTATACTTTTGTAGCAGAAATAATTGATAATATTCTATCAGATATTTATCTATATGATTTTAAGGAGTCATTTAGATACTTTAAATACCTGAGGCTTTCCCTTTTCTGCAAATATCATGTTCTTGTTATGTGTGTTTTGTCTATAGAACTTTCCAGAGCAGTGTATGAGGTAGCCGTAATCCAAGAGGAGTTTAGGGATCATTAGTAGTACAGTGAAGTGTCTGCATGCAACTACAATAATGCATTGAGATCTACTGGACTTCCCTGCTTATTACACAAAATGTGTTCAGCAGATATTAGTAGAATATGTCTTTTTCTCAGAGGTAATTTTTTTAAACATGTTTTGTATTTGAAAAACTGTGCACATCCCAAGTATCCAACCATTATATTTCAAAATAGAGATAGCACAAGAAATCTTCAATTAATCTCCTAAGAAATGAGCCCTGCACAAGCCACAACTTTCATTCCAGTTTACTCTCCAAACTTTATTAATTGCAATAATCTAATCATGTGCAGATTGAACCTCTCTAGTCTGGTGCCTTTGGGACCTGACCAGTGCTGAATTAGGGAATTTGCCGAACCAGAGGAGGTTAATATTGTCTGGCAGCATTACCAACACATACACTGCTTACTGGAATGTTAGAAGACATCTGAGGTAAACTAGAGCTAAAATATAGCACAGAACATTGAGAGCCAGGACCGGTGGCTATAAACAAACTTTATGGAACTATGGGAAACTTGGACACACCCGTAATAAGTGGGCATCTGCCTAACTAAGATCATGCCAGAGCATGGATGTTGCCAGACCAGAGTGTGCCAAACTAGAAAGGTTCAACCTGAGGTAACAAGGGAAGGGATAAGGGCAATTTGCTTGGTAGAAATATTTTAGATCAGAGGCACCGGTGGCTATAAACAAACTTTATGGAACTATGGGAAACTTGGACACACCCGTAATAAGTGGGCATCTGCCTAACTAAGATCATGCCAGAGCATGGATGTTGCCAGACCAGAGTGTGCCAAACTAGAAAGGTTCAACCTGAGGTAACAAGGGAAGGGATAAGGGCAATTTGCTTGGTAGAAATATTTTAGATCAGAGGCGGGGGCATTTGTGTGCACC